AAAAGAGATTTATTTGGCTCACACTTCTACAGGCTGTACAAGCATGACACTACCATCTGCTTGGTTTCTGGTGAGGCCTCAGGAAGCTTTTACTCATGGTGGAAGGTGAAGGGGGATCAAGAGAAAGAGAGAAGAGGCGCCAGGTTCCTTTAAACAACCAGCTCTCTTGTGAACTAACAGAATGGGAACCCACTCATTAGTAAAGGCGCCAAGCCATTCATGAAGGATCTGCTCCTATGATCCAACACCTCCCATGAGGCAGACCCCCGCCTCCAACATTGGGGATCACATTCAACATGAGATGTGGTGGGGACAAATATCCAAGCCACATCACTGATGATGGGGGTTAAGAACAGGAGATTAGAGACTCATAATTCAAGGATCCTGGTCCTTGTTTGCTAACCGTAAGTATTTTAAAGCTTTGTGGAGTGTTAAAGTGATTTAAGGTGGTTTATTAATTCATCATCACCTTGCAAAGACACTTTACAATATGATCTATAGATACGGCTTATTTTTTTCACACTAGTTATATTCAGTGACTAGTTATAGTCAGCATCTGAGTATGTGCTGTCATCACCTTATTTAGACAAGGAGAGGTTCTGCCTTCCCAGTTGGATTAAGAAGATAGTCACAAGTGTCAGATATTTGGGAAAGCACTTGTCTTATTACTACCAGAATTAGAAAAGATGCATTACTCTGAAGATGTAATTTTTAAAAATAATGCTCCATTTTAGAAAGTGACATTTCTGAAACTATCCGTTAATTCTTAAAGGGCACTTTCTATAGTTACAAGAGCAGAGGCACTGCTACAGTTTTCTAGTTCAGGGCCCGTCACACTCCCTGCCAGGATGGAGCTCCGTCACATCACCCTCTTATGAGTAGCTGTCCTTAGAGCTACTCAAGGGCAGTCACCGGTGATGCTGTTATCTTCTGTGTATCTCCAGGGCCAGTCACAATACCTAAAGTGTAATAGGTTCTACTAGTTTTTTTGTTGTTGTTGAAAGAGCAAGCATTGTAGTTATGATGACCATATATTTAGAATTTTCTGGGCCATTTGTGACTCTAAATACTTTATTTGCCCCCGCAAGCTTACTCGTTTTGTCAAACCATAGGTACCAGATTTTGCTTTGGAAACTTTATTTGACCTTAATTGCTAGGTGTGTGGTCAGAGTATGTGGGAGCCAAGAGAAGAGAGGAAGTCATTTTGCTGAGGGGAGCAAGAAGGGAGAAGTTGAGGAATGCTTCACAGGGCAAGTGATGTTTGAGGTCTGTCTTGAAGCTCATGTGTGAGTTTCCCACGCAACTTAAAGGGTATTCTAGGGAGTGAGTAGACTGTGCAGAGGGCAAGAAGGAATCCTGAGAATCCTCTTCATGTTTGGGCCATGAGGGGGTTAAGTGAGTCTAAGTGTGTGTTGAAATGGGTCATGGTAAGAGACAAGCCTGGAAAATTATATTGGGATAGTTGTGCAGGACCTGGAATGGTGAGATTTTGGATTTGATCTTAATTTTAGCATTGAAGGAATGATAGCAATCAGGATAGCTTCCTCCCGTGACTGGAGAAGCTTCCTAGAGATCACTTGCTGGCTGGTGGCTGCCAGAGTTGGCCGCGGGCCCTGGGACAGTACTTGTCAGAGGGCTTCTCCCAGGAAACGCAGTGTCTATTCGGAAAAACTAATTCACAGAAATTCTATATCTGATTTCAATTGTATTTTTGGTATGTATTATATGGTCTACATTTTAAAATTTATCATTTATTTACTGAGCCAAGTAAATTTTTACATTTATTTTACATTTATTATTACTGAGGTTTCCTGGTAATATTTTGGGCTTTTAAGTAGGAATACACTTCTGTTGGTTGCCACAAGATGGCATTGGCCTCAAAGTTGCTCTGTGTTTTTGTGTATGTAGTATGATTTTTTTCTTGCTTTTTAAAAATAGTTCCTTATATTTATTTTTAATTTCTTCCAATATTAACTTTAATAGAACTTTAATATTCATTCTATATTCAATATTAGTGAAGTTCCTTTTTCCTTTGCCAATTTATTCTTTTAAAATCTTTTAAAAAGTTAGATGTTTGTTGTAAAAAATAAAAATGTTTCAGAAATGCATAACTGAGAAAGTGAAAGCCCCTTATAATCCCTCTTTCCTATGGGATTGTTACATATTATGCTGGATTTTTTTGTACCTCTCTTTCTCTATGCATTTTGTGGGGGCAGAGCATGTTTTACACCTATTGTCCATGCTTTTCAATTTTTTTGTTGACTTATATATTCTTCCATGTTAGTACCTATTAAAGCCATCTTATTTTTTTTTAAATGACTAAGTAACGTTTTAAATTTTAATAGTACAATATTGTTTAATAGTTTTCTATTGTTACTGTAATTTATTTAATCTTTATCCATTAAATAGATGTCAGGCCAATGGCTTTGTAAGTTTTTTTCCTCTGAAATAAATATTTTAAATTAATTTGTTTTTAATACTGGTTTCACAAGTAATTTTTTCACTTAAACAGTTGTTGCATTGCTGTTAGCATATATTGTCAAAGTTTTTAATTAAATGCAACTGTGAAAGAAATATTTAAAAGAGGAATGAACTACAATTTATTTTTTGTAAAATAAGTGAAGTACTCTCTCTTCAGCATATGGTTATCTTTTAGGTACTACTTGTTAGACTTACTGACATTTTCATGGAGTAAGGAGTTTTAGAGTTCATCTAGTTTACCTTCTAGGACCATATGTATATCATTTGTCTCCCAACTACATACATTTAATACAATTCTTAATATAATACTTTTTTGATTAAAACATTAAAGAGTTTGTATTCTTTTGATTACTTTCATGTTCCTTGCTTTTTCAGATCGCTTGTGATGATGACTCTCCTTTCTTCCAGGTTGTTTTTGAGCACGTTCACTCTTGCAGTGTCAGCTGGGGCTGTTTTGCTTTTACCCTTCTCAATTATCAGCAATGAAATCCTGCTTTCTTTTCCTCAAAACTACTATATTCAGTGGCTAAATGGCTCCCTGATTCATGGTTAGTATACATTGCCTAATATAATCACAATTAATATTTTAATTTTGTATTGCACCGTATTTTTAGGTTTTTCTTTTCTTAGTTTTCTTCATAATTTGTGACTTCCTCCAGTAAACTATTTGGGTCTTTAGTAATGTCAGAAAACCAGATTCTATTTATCATTTCTATTTTCAATTAGTTGTGAAAGACTTTTCTCTTAGTCAAGAAGCAGTTTTTATACTTACTATGTATTTTGATAAATACATTTTCATTTCAGTATTTAGCAAGAGAATTTTTGTGTATCTGAACATGTCAGAAGAACTCAACTTCCATTTAAGAACTAAAAACTGGCTGGGCATGGTGGCTCATGCCTGTAATCACAGCACTTTGGGATGCCAAGGTGGGCAGATCACCTGAGGTCAGGAGTTCGAGACCAGCCTCGCCAACATGGTGAAACCCTGTCTCTACTTAAAATACAGAAATTAGCTGGGTATGGTGGCAGGCACCTGTAATCCTAGCTACTTGGGAGGCTGAGGCAGGAGAATCACTTGAACCTGGGAGGTGGAGGTTGCAATGAGCCAGGATTACACCATTGCACTCCAGCTTGGGCAAGAAGAGTAAAACTTCATCTCAAAAAAAAAAAAAAAGAACTGAAAAACAGTAGCTGTTGTTTCCATTTTATTTATTGGCTAGTAGTTTCTTTAGTCTTTTCAAAATATATGCTAGAATGGGAAAAATACTCTATGTCAAGTACAAATAGGTACCATGATGTATTGCTTTGAAGCCTTTGGGCAAGTCACTGTCCTCTCACTGTAGTTTCCTGTTGTCTTAATAGGGATGATAAATAAAACCCAGCTTGCTGTCTTGTTTTTGGAATAGGAATGATGTATGTAAAGTAACTGTCTTTTAGTAGGCACTTAATAGGTAGTAGCTATTAAGATAGTTATTTAGGCTGTGGGGTGTTTTCTTTCTCTCTTCTTTCTGAAGAATCTTACTGTTTTTACACATCAATTCAGTGTATGTAAACTGAACTCTTGTCTCTCATAGAACATTCTATGGTGTAATTCTTTTTTGAGGAGTCCTAATTTTTTTTATTTTTCTTTTTTTCTGTTTCTTTTCATATGCTGCTTTCACAGAATATTTTTATTTTTTAATGCTTTAATTTTAATTTTTGTGAGTAAATAGTGTATATATTTATGGGCTATATGAGATATTTTGATACAGGCATGTAATGCAAAATAATCACATCAGGGTAAACAGGGTGTCCGTCACCTCAAGCATTTATCTTTTGTTAAGATTTTGTAATTATGTGTTAGAATTATAGCTCTTAGAAATGTGGATATCTTTCTTGCTCATCATGCCCTACCCCTCTCATTTTATTAGTGTTGATTTGTGTTACTAGTAACTATGTTATTATTGTTTTGTTAATGTTATTAGTTATTGGTGTTATCAGTATTAATGGTTATTTTATAATTTCTCATTTTAAGGTAAAAGTTTCTTGATAATTTTTTTTTTTTTTTTTAGTAAGAACCTTATGAGTTAATGGTAAAATGTCCTCCTTTGACAGTATTTAAGCTAAGTTGCCATTTGACCTAAAAAAAAAGTATCACAGATACATTTGTATTTGATTGTATTTGTATTTCATTAAATACAAATTTAATGAAAAGCTTTAAGGAAAAGCTTGTTTACATTAAATTTGTATTATAGGTTAGTGAATTTGGAGTTTCTGAGTTAACATAAAGAGGTGTTGAGATCTCAAATCCAAGGAAAAAAAATGGAATGACTTGCCTGTTTAGTATTGTTACAGTATATGCTGTAGTTTTTATGGTTGGCATTTTGCATTTAGAAAACATCACTGTTTTTTTTTTTTTTTTTTAGACTGGGTCTCACTCTGTTACCCAACCCTAGAGTATAGTGAAATGATCATGGCTCACTGCAGGCCCCACCTTCTGGGCCCAGGTCATCCTCCCACCTCAGCGTCCCAGGTAGCTAGGACTGAAGGTGTGTGACACCATGCCAAGCTAATTTTTGGTATTTTTGTTAGAGACGGGGTTTTGCCATGTTACCCAGGCTGGTTTTGAACTCTTGGGCTCAAGTGATCCTCCCACCTTGGCCTCCCAAAGTGCTGAGACTATAGGTGTTGCCAAAATGTCACCTGTTATGTGTAACATGTGCTTACTGGAGTTTCTGTAGAAGCCTGTGGCTCATTAGACTAATAATATATGTTCTTTCATTGCTGTTATGTTCGTGGTGCTGTAATCCAGTGGAAGGAAAGAGCAAGTTGAAATTTAAGAGGTTACTAGTTTTATGTGTAAGATGAGTACATTTCCCGTCTCCTGTTTGAGAAAGTGTAGCAGATAGTTTTTGCAGGTGATGCTACCTTAGCAATCCCTTAAGCTTTTGCTGATACTGTGGCCCCATATATGAAAAACAGCAACACCAACCACAACTTTTTTTTTTCCTGTTCATAAAAGTAGGGTGTGGTCACTATACAGAATATGGAAAATACTAAAATGTACAAACAAGAAAAAATCCACACTTCTTTTTCAGCATATGTGTGTATATATTATATATAGTATATGCAATTTATACCTTTAAAACATTTAATATTGTGTTTTCCGTACATTTTATGTTTTTTGAAATCATTTTTAGTGGCTGTACCCTGAGCCATGTATATAGCAATATATTAGCCTAGTGGTTTTCAAAGGCTATTTTGTTATTTTTAAGAGTGGAACCATTCATCCCACTAGTGACTTGCTACCTGGATTTTTTTCAGATTTGCCATAAAAAATAGCTGAGTTGTTCCTCAGGTACCAAACCCACCCTGTCCTCTTTGTGGAAACTTTCACCTAACCAGTAACTGTTGTTGAGCCTCTAGAGGATTTTTAAATTTTAATTATTATTTGGGTTTCTGACAATTTCTTTACATGAGAAAATTATTAGGCTAATGAGTATTATTGCTAAACTGTTTTCTAGAATTACTTGTTTATATTCTCTTCACAGACCATGAAGGTGCCTCTTGTTTTTAGCCATAAACTTAACAACAATGAATATTAGTGTCTTTAAAATCTATTCCATTTTCGTGGATGGAAAGGAGTTTCTCATTATTGTAATTTTAATTTAAAAAATTTTTAGTCAGATAGGACATTTTAATTTTAACTTATAAAATATAGAAAAATAATACATATGTCATTTTATAATAATAATAATAATAATTATTATTATTTTTTTGAGACAGAGTCTTGCTTTGTTGCCAGGCATCAGGCTGGAGTGCAGTGGCGCAATCTCGGCTCACTGCAATCCCTACCTCCTGGGTTCAAGCAGTTCTCCTGCCTCAGCCTCCCGGGTAGCTGAGACCACAGGTGCGCGCCACCACGCCCAGCCAATTTTTGTATTTTTTAGTAAAGACGGGGTTTCACTGTGGTCTCGATGTCTTGACCCCGTGATCTGCCCACCTCGGCCTCTCAAAGTGCTGGGATTATAGGCCATGAGCCACCGTGCCTGGCCTATTTTTATTATTATTTTTTTGTGATGGAGTCTTGCTCTGTTGCTCAGCCTGGAGTGCAGTGGAGCAATCTGGGCTCACTGCAACCTCCACCTGGGTTCAAGTGATTCTCCTGCCTCAGCCTCCCAAGTAGCTGGGATTACAGGCACCTGCCACCACATTTGGCTAATTTTCGTATTTTTAGTAGTGTTGGGGTTTCACCATGTTGACCAGGCTGGTCTCAAACTCCTGACCTCAAGTGATCTGCCCTCTGCAGCCTCCCAAAGGGCTGGGATTACAGGTGTGACACTCCAAACCCATCCCATATATAATTTTATTTGATTCATGTCCTTTGCCCTTTTTTGTGTTTGTTGCTTTTTTCATATTTATGATCTCTTTATGTGTGAACACATCAGCTTTTCATTCAATTTTTATACATGTTTTTCTGATTATTTTACTTTTTAATTTTAATTGCCTTTTTTCCTGGAATTTGAATATTTTTAATAATATTTTGCCTTTCTTTTTCTCTTTGGTGTCTCTAATTGTTTTTGGGTTTAGAAGATTGAGGTATGACAACTAGTTGTCTCAGTACCATTAATTGAATATTTATTCTTTTCTGTATTGATTTTTTTATGTTTCATTTTCAGGAAGCTAAATATTACATTAGGGTCTGTTTCTGGGCTCAGGTGCATAGGTTTTGGAGTCAGACCTGGGCTTGAATTTCAGATCTGTCTGAAACCCTGAACAACCTTGAGCAAATTGTTCACACTTTCAAAGTCTCAGTCTTTTATCTATAAAATAACCATATCAAGGCCTAGTTTATAGAACTGTTTTATGTAGTAAGTGGAATATGTATGTAGTATAAAGTAGCTAGTCTACTGCCTGGTCCAGAGTAAGCAGGGAATAAATGCTGAATTTTACTTCCCTGTTTTTTCCCTCTGGTTTGTCTGTCTATTCCTATGCCAATGCCATATTGTTTTAAAGACTATAGTTTTGTAAATTTTGCTCCTACTAGGTTTTAAAGAGTTCATATATTTTATGAAGGTTTTCATAAGCAAAGGCATATATTTTATGCGATATGGGACATGGCAATGCTGTGGAAATTTGTCACTTAATTGTTTTGTCTGTGTTAGGGAGATGTATATGCATGTTTGTGTGTTTAAAGAAATACATATTTGGTGGGACATTTGGAAAATAAATCACAGCTAGCAGATTGGGTCCTCAGCAGTGGCCGTAGCCAGGCCAGCCTTGGTGAGTATAAGTCCATGGTGCTGGGTCCGTGTGTGGTCTCCATCTCTACCATCATGGTGACTTTGTTCATGAGCCCACTGTGCAATGACAAAGATGGCTGGGGAAAGAGGCTGACTAGTATCCACAGAGCCAGTCATCCTATCCACTTAATTATTAAAATCCTCCTCTGCTGAGGTCACTCTTTGGTGAACATTCACATGGAACACAAATACTTCAACACTTTTTTTTCCCATTCAGAGAGGTTTGTTCATGTACCTCATCCCAACTTTCTTATTGCCAGTTTTCC